TGTTTTATTCCCTGTGTAAACTGTAAATGTGTAGGTAATAAGTATTAATAGTAACTATAATAATAATTCCTTTAGATTATTAAAATTGATATTAATAGTTTAAAACTTATAAATTACCAAACAACATTGTTTTAATATTATCGTTTCTCGTCATGTTCGATTGACTAAAAAACAGACAGATTTAATATGTTTTTGCAGTGTTTTATTTTATTATGAGTGGAAAGCGCATACGATAAATTAATAGTAGTGCCGATTTCGTAAAAGAACCTATAATAGTAATAAAATAAGAAAACTAATTATTTAATTATACTCAGATACTAAAAATTAAGTTTCTTTGAAAAAGTAAAAACTAACATATAATTATAAAATTATACATTAATAATAAAAACAAAATAATAAAAAATACCTATAGTATAAAATTGTATATTTAACTATAGGTACTCGTAAATTACCTAACTATAGGGACGTACGTATTTGAGTCGAAATTAATTGATATATAATATACAATATACTATAGGTATAGACCCCACAGACATATTAATAATTTTTATATTACGTTGCATAATTATTAACTTTGACAGACTAGGTAAAAACGTGTTAATGTTATTAATAATATCATAATATTAATATATTTTGAACCAATAAATTAGGTATATTCTTACATGAACAAAAGTAAAAAACGTCCTTATACCAATGTGGATATGTACCCATTTCGATTTTTAATATACCTACCTACGTAATTTTAATCAATCAAATATTTATTGATGGCGTCATGGCAATAATTTAATAGTATGTAATATAATTATTATTTTAACCATTATTTGGAATTTAACATTTGTAAACGGACTAACGGAGACTCCCCATCGGCGATCGCTACCTCCGATATATTATTGATACAATATAATATTTATTATTACTATGATTTATTATAATATACGTAATTTGACAACGTATAATATTGTGTCTGCCGTCTGGTACTCGACGAGTACCGTACTGGCCGGTGGCGATTACTAGATGGGAGAGCGAAGTAGGTGTACCACACTACCACAGATATATATCTGTGAGGTGTACACACTACTACTACTCAGCCGCGATATCATTCAATTATTATTATTACACTAAAAATGTTCGAATTTCGGAATCACCCAAGATAAGCCGACGACGCACCGCCGTCGCAGACAGCGATCGCCGACCGTCAACCCCGCGGCCCGCAACACATGTACGGCCCTCCCTGCACCCACTGAACGACTGAACACTGTACAGACACACATTAAGAGGATGTCAGCGCACTATTTGTTTTCTCTCTCTGGCCCACGTGCAGCATAGACAAAACGCATGAACGCAGAATCATTTTTTCTATGTTTTAAGTAATCTTAGAGTAAAATCACCTATTACAAAAAAGATAGAGAATAATATTTTTGAGGGAATGTCATATCGATTTTATATTTTATTGTTATTTGACTTTGTGTTCGACCTTCAAAATAAACAAAAAAAGTTGTACATTAAAATGATGTTTAAATTGTTTTGAGACAATATTTAGACAAATCGATATGACATTCTCTCAAAAATATTATTCTCTATCTTTTTTGTAATGGGTGATTTTACTCTAAGATCACTTAAAAACATAGAAAAAATGATTCTGCGTTCATGCGTTTTGTCTATATGCTGCGCGTGGGCCAGAGAGAGAAAACAAATAGTGCGCTGACATCCTCTTAACAGTGAGCAGTGAACACGTCATTTTTATTAATTTTACTACCTATTATTTACGACAGCGACGGTAAAAAGTATTTACCTATAACAGTTCAATATAGTACCTACACAACATACATCACATCGGTAAGTACCCTAATTTTGCTATTTTATTAGTTTATTAAAATGTTACTATGTAATCTATGTATTATAAACTTAATACTTTGTACACCTAATTTATAAATTCAATACCTATTAAAATGGCACAAATATTGCAGAACTAATACTGAGGTAACATACATAAAAAAATAATAATTTTCTATTAAAGTTTAAGGAAGTAATAAAATATGAATTTCTATTTAGATATAGGTAGGTATGTAGATAAAAATGATATTTCAATGATAAATTAAATAACAGTACATTTATTTCATCAATCAAATAACTTTAAGTACCTACCTATGGTTCTAAGTAAATTAATTTCTTATGGTGTCAACATTGTTAATTAATGTTATAAATTTAATTTTTAATTATTTCTAATAAGTACACAAATAATTATGATAGTTTAGTACCTATTCATTAAATAAATATAGTATTTATACTGAATAAAGTTATAGTTCTTCTAAAAATATTATAATTATGATTTATACTAAGTACCTAAAGCTATATTATAATCCTACAAATCCAGTTATAAGGATAATAATATCATGCATTCATGCATACACCATATTATATGAAAAAATGAATATCACAATATTATTATATGAAACTACATAATACCACTAAAATACATAACAATAATTAATAAATAGGTAATCATTTCATACAAAATATGTATATATTTGTAGGTATTTTATTTTTCAATTTTTCTTTATTTCAAATAGATTTTAAAATGATACGTAGTTACCGAACTAAAAGAAGAAAAATTCAAGAAGAGCTCAAAACTCTTCATTTTTCTAAAAAATCAAATGAAACTTCTAACAATTTTAATGTACATACTGCATCTACTTCCGAGGAATTAAATATTTCAGCAAATATTATTCAAAAAAATCCTAAAGCTGCTAACAATGATGAAGTTTTAATATCAACGTTCAGACAAAACTTGGAACAAGATTATGAAATTCCAGATCACCATAGTAATTATACCAATTGTACCAATGGTTATACAGATGTGAACAAAATTGTAGACAGCTCGGAAACTTTAAAATCACAATTAGCTAATTGGGTGGTTCAATGTAATGTCCCTAATACAACAGTTAATAGACTTTTACCAATTTTAAAACAACATGAATGCCTTCATTCATTGCCACTTGATTGTAGAACATTATTACACTCTAATAATACTAAAATTACAAATATAAGACTTGTTAATCCTGGCTACTATTTTCATTTTGGATTAAGGGAAGGAATAGTAAAATGTGCTGATCGTTATAATCTTAATGATGAAATAAAAATATTTGTTGGGATTGATGGACTACCTTTGGCAAAAAGTAGCTCTAGCCAATTTTGGCCTATTTTAGCATATGTACAGCCTTTCAAAGAATATGTTTTTCTTATTGGCCTTTATCATGGATTTGAGAAGCCTATTGAAAGTAATGATTTTTTAAAAGAGTTTATCGATGAAGCTGAACATTTAGTGAAAAATGGCATTAATATTAATAACAGTATTCATAAAGTCTCTATTTTTGCTATATGTGCTGATGCGCAGGCAAAGTCTTTCCTAATGAAAGTTAAAGGACACAGCGGATATCATTCTTGCACTAGATGTTTTGTGGAAGGTGAATATTTAAACCGTCGTATGTGCTTTCCATACCAAAAAATTAAATCAAGAGAAAGAAGTCATGAAGGATATACTATTAAAGTACAAGAAGAGCATCATGTTGGCAATTCTTTATCAGACCTCATACGAATCCCTGGTTTTGATATGGTAAACTCTTTCCCATTAGACTATATGCATCTAGTAACATTGGGAGCAATGAGAAAACTAATAAATTTATGGATACATGGACCTCTAACTGTTCGTTTACCTAGTTTGCAGATTCAAAAAATTTCAAATAACTTGCTATCATTCAAATCATCAATAACAAACGATTTTGTTAGAAAACCAAGAAAAATCGAAGAGGTTAGCCGATGGAAAGCTACTGAGCTACGACAATTTTTGATTTATACTGGACCACTTGCTTTAAAAAACATTCTTACTGAGAGAATGTATGATAACTTTATGTTTTTAAATATTTCTATGACCATTTTACTTAGTTCAAATATTTCGAATAATCTTTTAAACTACGCAAATTCACTTTTAAATTTTTTTGTAAGTGATTTTGAAAATATTTATGGTAAGCCATAATATTCCCATAATATATTTCCCATAATATTCACGGTCGTACACATATTGGTTTGGATTATCAACGGTACGGTCAACTTGATTCATGTAGTTGTTTTGTTTTTGAAAACTATATGAAAACTCTTAAACAAATGTTAAGGAAACACGAAAAGCCACTTGAACAGGTCATTAAACGATACCAAGAGAAAACTACAAATGAAATTGTTAATCATATAAGTAACCAACCTATTGCTGCAAAGTTGAGTTATGAACATAGTAATGGCCCTTTAATACAAAATACATGCGAGCCTCAATATTTGAAATTAATTCTTCACAATAAAATGACCATTAGTTCATCGTTCATCATCAGATTCTTATGTTCTTACAAATACTGGAGAAGTTATTCAAGTTAAAAATATTGCACATTATAATTCTACCAAAGAAGTTCTTATTATTGGATTTGAATTTTTAAATAAGTGCCCATTTTATGATAAGCCAATTAGATCCAGCAAATTGAATATATTCATAGTACAAAATTTATCAAAAAACTTAAAATATTGGAAAATTACAGAAATTAAAAATAAAATCATTTTATTTTCTGTTAAGGAAAGATATATTGCCTTCCCTATTTTACATTCACTTTAGTTCAAGTACTATAGTTTCATATATTATTGGTGTATAGTGTAAATATTGTTTTATAAAAATGTAAATTTTAATTTTAATTTTAACTTACCTAATTAACTAGAAGGTAAAAATGATGAACGTCTATATATATACCTATTATTGGATAAATTGATAACCTATGAATAACAAAATTGGACAAATTTAAATATACTTATAGGCTATAGGTATGACAAATTAAAAATAATATGTAGAATGTAGATACATTTTATTGTCTTTACCTTGGAACATTTGATTATATTGTAGAATTTATTACCTAATTGTTCTGATGTAAATAAATATATCTTTTTACTTAAATTTATAGGAAATAATGTGGCTTATAGTTAATTTTTTAAGCGACAATTCTGTCTCAGCAGTACCCACAATTTGGTTAAAAAACGGATATTGTGCCTGGCCAAAACAATTCATAAAAAACAAAAATAAATTTATAGAAAAAAAAATCAAACCAGGAAAATCTCAATTTGACTTTTATAAAGTGAGACTACTATCTGAAAAACCGATTGGTGAGTAATGTATTAATTGTATAAAAATGTATCTATAATACCTATGTAAAATATTTAACTAATTTTTATTTTTTTAAATATTTTTAGCATCTTACTCCGAAGCTAGGCTTAAAGCTTTAAAAGCCCAAAACACTTCGGACCTTTCTTCGGCCGAAGACATTGAATCAAAAACTAACAAAAAAATAAAAAATACAGTATCAAAAAAAAGTGTACCTAAAGAAACACCACCAGAATTTTCAGGTAAATATTCAATGTGACATTTTTTTGTTTTGTTTGTAGTACCTATCAATTTGTTTCAGTGATACATAGTCTTACAAAACATAATAACTAGGATTGGATGATATAATTCTAAAAAGGTGGGTAAGTGGATGTCGCTCTGCTGTACTGTAGGTTACAAGTGGGTCAGTGTATAATGGATGGTATTAAATTTGAATTCAATGATACAATATCATTGTATAAGAAAAACGATTCTGAGCGAAGACGGTATGTCAGTCTAGGTTTAAGACAAATTATATACATATCTATGGTATTAAAAAAAAATTGACCTATAATAAATTCCAAATTAAACATATCACATTATCACAATATCCATTAGGTACTTATAACACGTTATACATCAACATCAATAACAAACCCTGATACTATCATTGATATATAATAGTACACTTTAGAAGTTTCAAGTAGGTTCCCACAAATAATATTATATAATCACAACAAAATAACTAGGTTTTTTAATATGTAATTTCGTCCAAATTTGAATATAAAATGACTATAAAAATAAACTGTGATTGTATATTTTTTAGATTTTTTGGTAAGAGAATTAACTACTTACGTGGAATCTTGTTTTAAATTTTCAATCCTTAGCTATAAAAACTGAACATTTTATAATTTATTAATTACGATGATTAATAATTTTCGAGATTTTGAAAAATTCTGTCAAAATTCGATGTTTAAATGCTTATAAAAAAAAACTGTGCCTATGTATTTTTAATATTTTTCAACTGATATTGTAACAATATATCAGGAGCCTTGTATTAAATTTTTACACTTTTTGGCCCAACAGATAAAACTATTGATATTCATAGAAAAAAAAAATAAAAAAATGAAAATATCCGTAAATAGCTCAAAAAGAGTCAAAATATTTTCAAAATTGTATGGTGTATAGGAAATGCTAATATAAACATTCAGTGAAATTTCCATGTATCTATAGTTATTCGTTTATGAATAACAACAAAATAAGGAAATCGCTAAGTGAGAAATCGAGTGAACATCCAATGTTGTAAAAATTTGAATTTCAAACGCTCATAAAAATTTAATTTGATTGTCCGGTAGAGATTTTTTTATTGATAAAGGTAGACAAACTTATGAGTAATCTTGTATTACATTTTCAAATCTTAGATTTAAAAAGAAAATTTTTGCGAATTCTTAACTCAAAATAATTTGCTAATTTTCTTGATTTTTCCATATTTTGTCAATTTTTGAACTTTAAATGCTTATAAAAAAAACTGTGACTAACGATTTTTAATATTTTTCATCTGCCTTTGAAACAATATACTAGGAGTCTTCTATTAAATTTTCAAGTTTTATTAACCAACAAATAAAATTGTATTGATATTTCTAGAAAAAAAACTAAAAAAAAATGAAAAATGAAAATGTCCCTAAACAGTTCAAAATAAATCAAAATATTTTGAAAATGTTATCGGGTATAGAAAATGCAAATATAAACAACCAGTGAAAATTTCATGTATTTACGGTCATTTGTTTTAAAGTTACACCAAAAACCAAATTCGATTTTGTCAAAAACCGATTTTGCGTAAAAATTCCCGTTTTTCCTTAATTTTTATGTTGTTTTTCCCGGCGCTTGTGAAAACTATTGGGAATTTTAAATTTTGACCTCCCCAATGCACCAACGATATTCACTTTCCAATCGAACAAGATACTGAAGTCGAAAATCGAAGCATTATTTCGACTACTTATCGTGTACACAGACACAAAAATAAAAAAAAAAAAGGTGGGTAAGTGGATGTCGCTCTGCTGTACAGTAGGTTACAAGTGGGTCACTGTATAATTGATGCTATTAAATTTGAATTCAATGATACAATATCATTGTATAAGAAAAACGATTCTGAGCGAAGACGGTATGTCAGTCTAGGTTAAGACAAATTATATACATATCTATGGTATTAAAAAAAAATTGACCTATAATAAATTCCAAATTAATCATATCACATTATCACAATATCCATTAGGTACTAATAACACGTTATACACCAACAACAAACCCTGATACTATCATATATATATAATAGTACACTTTAGAAGTTTCAAGTAGGTACCCACGAATAATATTATATAATCACAACAAAATAACTAGGTTTTTTAATATGTAATTTCGTCAAAATTTGAACATAAAATGACTATAAAAATAAACTGTGATTGTATATTTTTTAGATTTTTCGGTAAGAGAATTAACTACTTACGTGAAATCTTGTTTTAAATTTTCAATCCTTAGCTATAAAAACTGAACATTTTATAATTTATTAATTACGATGATTAATAATTTTCGAGATTTTGAAAAATTCTGTCAAAATTCGATGTTAAAATGCTTATAAAAAAAATTGTGCCTATGTATTTTTAATATTTTTCAACTGATATTGTAACAATATATCAGGAGCCTTGTATTAAATTTTTACACTTTTTGGCCCAACAGATAAAACTTAATTAATATTTATAGAAAAAAAAAACTAAAAAAATTGAAAACTGAAAATGTCCGTAAACGGCTCAAAAAGAGTCAAAATATTTTCAAAATTGTATGGTGTATAGGAAATGCTAATATAAACATTCAGTGAAATTTTCATGTATCTACAGTAATTCGTTTTTTAATTACAACAAAAAAAGGAAATTGCCACATGAGAAATCGAGTGAATATCCAATGTTGTAAAAATTTGAATTTCAAACGCTCATAAAAATTTAATTTGACTTTCCGGTAGAGATTTTTTATTGATAAAGGTAGACAATCTTATGAGTAATCTTGTATTAGATTTTCAAATCTTAGATTTAAAAAGAAAAATTTTTACGAATTCTTAACTCAAAATAATTTGCTAATTTTCGTGATTTTTCCATATTTTGTCAATTTTTGAACTTTAAATGCTTATAAAAAAAAATTGTGACTAAGGATTTTTAATATTTTTCATCTGCCCTTGAAACAATATATTAGGAGCCTTCTATTAAATTTTCAAGCTTTCGCAACCAACAAATAAAATTTTATTGATATTTCTAGAAAAAAAACTAAAAAAAAACTAAAAATGAAAATGTCCCTAAACTGTTCAAAATAAATCAAAATATTTTGAAAATGTTATCGTGTATAGAAGATGCAAATATAAACAACCAGTGAAAATTGCATGTACCTACGGTCATTTGTTTTAAAGTTACACCAAAAACCAAATTCAATTTTCTGAAAAATCGATTTTGCGTAAAAATTCCCGTTTTTCCTTAATTTTTCTTTTGTTTTTCCCGGCGCTCTTGAAAACTACTGGGAAATTTAAATTTTGACCTCCCCAATGCACCAACGATATTCACTTTCCAATCGAACAAGATACTGAAGTCGAAAATCGAAGCATTATTTCGACTACTTATCGTGTACACAGACACAAAAAAAATAAAAAAAAAATAAAAAAAAATAAAAAAAAAACACACATCATTGTAAAATCAATACATTCATCGTTTCACTCAGAATCTAAAACACACATCATTGTAAAATCAATACATTCATCGTTTCACTCAGAATCTAAAAAAACCTACCTACATAATTTATCATAATCTATGCAATAAATATTTATAGGAACAAAGTTCATATTAAAATAAAACAATAAATAATATACTTTTATAATCCAAAATCCTTTTTTAAGAATATTATAAAATATAAAAATATTAGTTTCTGTACCAGATTTAAATTTAGCAAGTTAAGTTTTATAACATTTTATAATAATTTAAAACTATACTAACAGCAAAAAATAACTGGTTCACAACCAATAAATTAACCAACCTAATAATATGGATAGTAATAAAATAATATATTTAATAATAAAATCAAAACATATGAAAAATAAAATGGTTGATATTTAAAATATGTATAGACATCATGGAATAAATTTATAATACATGCATTCTCAATGCTGATATTGAATAATATTGAAATGTATTTTTGTGTTTCATAATATAGATTCCAGTGAAAATACGGATATTTATGATAGTGATCAAGATATGTTGTACGTGCCTCCGATAAATCCTAATGACGGCCATTTAAAAAAAAAAGGTTATTGTTACAAGTGTTAATCTAACTTAAGTAATATATTTACCTAAAATTAAAATGAATTTATACTATAGATCGTGTATGTTGTAATGAACTGCTGGGTGGAAAACAAGTATGTGCCTCTCCACTAAATTTCAAACATTTGGAAAATGACGATATTGGTAAATACTACCTATGACTGATATTTACTTTTTTATATAATATTAATTTTCTTAAATGCACCATTTTCAAAAAGATAATTATAATGCCACAAATATGGCTTAGGTAGTAAAAGTTAATAAATTTAAATTTCTGTTTAAAGTTATTATCTAATAATATATTATTTTGATCTTCACATGACTGTACTCTCACATTTTCACTAATACAGTTCTTAATTATTACAAAATAATAAATTATTTTGAGTTGTTCAAACCTTGACTATGTATTTGATATTTATTAAGTATAAAGTTGAATAATAATACCTAATACATCATTATTTAAGCCTTATTTAAGAAACATGGTTGGTGTTGTGTAAATCAATCACCAATTTTCATAAAACTATTGTATCATATTTTCCTATTGTTATTTTTTTTATCTATTTTTTAGATTGTTTAGAAGTAATCAATAGTCCTGTTGGAAAGTGGAAAGTACTAGATGGAGCAGCAGTTACTATTGCAGATGATTCATTAAGTTCCATTAAAAAAAAAGATGCTCCAGATTCAAAAGTTCAAGTTAAACGCAAACTATTTGCTCAAAGCGATGATGATGATGTGCTGGAGAAAAATGCTGGTATGATGATATTATTTACCATACTTATAATTATTATTTAAGTAGAATTTCTATGATTTTTAAATTTAAATATACTTAATAATTAAAAAAATACAACTTAATAATATTAATAATACATACATTTGTTTTAAAACTATCTACTATAGTGTTTTATGTTCTCTTCTTAAAAAAAAATTATACATAGATTTTGAAATTGAATTATTGGACATTGCTTATAATAATATTATTGCTATTACTACTATTCCCATTGTGTAAGACAAAATGTATGAATTTATAATATATTCTATAATGTTAGTTAAAAACTTATCCATTAACTTTAAGTTCATTTTTCTCTGAAGGTAATAACAGTAAAATTGTACGATTGGATACTGAAAGTCTTAAGCAAAGTCTTATTCAATCTGCAGATGTAGTAAAGGTGGATGATTTTAATAGTGAGTTATTTATCTATTATGTTTTAATGCTGTAATGCTGTATTTTTTTTTTTTTTTACAACTATAATAAATAATGTTATTAACTTGAATTTAAATATTGTAATGATTTAATTATAATTCTATGTGTTATATAGTTGACTGCATTTATTGATGTACTTAATTTTAATTTTTTCAAGGACTCAATGATTATGTTAGAACATCATTTACCAATTTAAAATATGATATTAAACATTTGGTATATGTATCAGAATCAGTTAAGAAAATGCTTGAAAATGTTAACAATATCTGCTCAGAACTGGGTGTGACAAAAAACTCTAATTTAACTGCTGTATCTGTATTAAATAATGAAAACCTCCCTATATCTAACGAAGAAACTATAAACAATTTTGAAATGTTACTCGAATCTTCTGCTTATAGAGATAAAGTTGTAAGTATCAACATTTAGATATCAATTTAACCTATTACTTAGTTTCAAAATTGTATGTTATTTGCTTATCATTTAGGTTTCAGAATTATCACTTTCAGTCGGAAAAACTATTCCTGAAACCATAAGACGCATGATGCAAAAACTATTTGTTAATGATTGGTTACGCAATTACTCCTATATTGGATTTAAAGGCAAAAACAAATTTTCTTCTTTGCACTCGTGTAAAATAATATTTAGTGAGAGTTGATAATTTTTTACTTTCTGATTGTAATATTTTTTTATATCTATGTTTAACTATTTATGTTATTAGAAGTTGTTCGAAGCTGTTCAAAGTTTGAAAAAGTTCCTGATATGGAAATAGCACTTACCATAAGCAAGTGGATGGCTCAATCCACTAATCGCATTACTAAAAAAACTAAAGAAAAATTGTAAATAACATTAAAGTGTACTGTTTTAACATGAAAAAAAAAACTTTAAAATAAAAATTTTTGAATAAATAAAAAGATTTGTATGGCATTTTATAGTTACTCTTTGAAATATGATTGATTTGGATTTTAAATTATTGAGTGATAATTAGTAGTACAGTACAACCTTGCTAAGACAGAATCGCTTAGGCCCGTCCAATTTTTCCATCTTAACAGAGTTTCTGACTTGATAGAGGGCTCACATTCTTTATTTATTTGAATCGCGACTAAAGAAATTATTCTTTTTATCGTGTTCCAATCTTACAGAAGTTTTGTCTTACCATAGTTTTACTGTATACGAATTGATTGTGGATATAGAAATTAAAATGGTTGTTGATCAGTAAAAAAAATAATCTTAAAACCAGAACTTAAATTGGATTGTGTCCAAATACTTAATAATTAACTATAATGTGAACAATATTTGGATTTTATTAATAACTTCAAAACTAAAAATTAAATTAAGATGAACTGAGTTCCATTATGAGGTGAATAAACTGATATATTAATACATTAGTTAGTGTACCATGGTTTGTAAGATTAAGGCATATAGGTATATAAGAATAGTTTAATATAGTTGTAACTGTAGTAGGTACTCAATTATATAGCTACAAGCATCAAATAATGAATTGTCTCATTCAATATTTGAGTACATTTAGAAAAAATATGTTAACAACACTAATCAACTATTATTGTAAAAATATGTTTATTTACATGTTTCTGAAATATATTACTTAACTATATCCTAGAAATCTGTGGTACCACATATTGTTAAAATATCTTAAAAAACATAATTCCACAATATGGAATTTTCTGCCACGAGTCGTTGTCACAATATTGCTTCATTATTGTTAACACTTAAATCACATAATTAAAACATAAATTTAAAATATTTTCGTGTTCACAGAAAATATTGATAACATATATGTAAAATATTGTAATGCTGTCTGGATCTGTTCGGCAATATTTGAACTTAGAAAGATTATTGAAGTGTAATAATAAAATTCACAATTATACAACAACTGTTATATCTTTTATTCATCAACCACGACTATAATCATCTGAAGAAGTGTCTGCGACCTGCAACGTTAACGTACTGGTAGCCACTTGTCTATTATTATTACTACAATAGTAGGTACCAAGTTACCAGCACATTACACTCATATGAAAATATAAGTTTGTATAGCCACAGGGCACTCCTTAAATAATACAAAAAATATCAGGTATTTGATGAAATATATTCTTGAAATCAGATTTTGAATAAATGTATTATTAAACTGTATAATGGAGGAGAGCATGTTTAAAAAATCACCCTGTATAGTCATAGAAATTCATCATGATAGGTACTAATTATTAATTTTATCACATGAAAAGGATTTTTTCTGAAAAATATTTTTGTATTGATTTTCCATCAATAAAAATATTTTTATTCTAACGCTAATGTCTAATATTATTCTCATCACGATTGCGCAACTCATAATAATAAGTCGTCCTATTTACTCATATTCACTTTTATAAGATAAAATTCTGAATTATAAACTCTTGGAATTACATTATTATACATTTCATTTTTAATTTTATGGAATATTAGGTTGGTGAAGTACATATTATCTACTATCAAACAGATATTCAAAGATATCAGAGGCCAGCAGATGTCCAAAGCTGAGTCGTCTTCTATATCGTAGAGTCAAAAATAGTTGGACATTGAACTATAACTGTGCGGAGATCGCTCTACTTAACAGGTAAGACGAAGCTGAATATCATTTCAATCAGACATCAGTTTTGCCACTTTGACCGCCATCGAGGGCAAAACGAAAACTGGAATTCTGGCCTCTTGGAACCATCAACCTATACATATGTTTTAAATCGACTATGTTAACAAAAGAAATTAATATTGGCCATAAGGTAGACTTGGAGTTTTTGGTGATTGGTAAGCCATCAATATTAATACTTAATTGTATTAGATTAGTACATTTTAATTTATCAAAATAAGCAACCAAAATAGGTGATACCATATACTCTACTCCAATATGGATGTAAGATCCAGGATATACATTAATAATTTCGTGAGTTTTTGGAGTTTTTAGTAAAGTTCTAACATCTTTTGGCAAGTCAAGATCTTCAGATCTCAATATTTGTAAAAGTTCATTGACACAATTATGAGATATATGATAATCTGATATAAGTTTACATAATTTATCTTTAAGGGTAACATTATTTTTATTTAATATAGTTTTAGGGGTATTAGCAGCATCATTATTAACATTATTTATATCATCCGAAAATTGTAAATCAATTGGTGTAGGATATAATGTAATGTTATTGGTCGTTTCAGTACAGGAACTAGTTAATGAAGGCTGAGATTCCTGAGAAGTTAAATTATTGAAAGATTTATTGATTCTTACATTATTTGACAACATTGGATCCTTTATACAATTTAATTTCTTTTCGGTTTCTAAATATCGTTTGAAGTTCCTCTTGGACATGCAGTGGAGAGGTTTCCTTTTTTTAATCTATAACACATTTGTATAATTATACAATTAAATAGGAATAATTTATACTAAACTTAATAATTAAATACTTATAAAAGATTCTAGCTTCCAAAACTAATTTATTTATATTATGAACATAAAATTATAAATACTATAATACAGTAGTATTTATAACTTTATAAGTATGTTATATATAGTATAGTAAGTCATAAATTTTTACATTTTCCTGTTTTGACACTAAAAATTGATTGTCTAATGCAATAAAACCAAAGAATAATATGTTTATAGTGAGAAAAATATCTAATATATTGTACTATAATATAGTACAATTATTAAGTAGTACTAGACTAGTACTACTTATTAATACTTGTACTAGTACTTCTACTATATAGTATATATTAGTATATAAATATTTATAATATTATAAGGGGAAATTAACCCATTACAATATTGATACTTACTAATTGTAAACTATTTATTTTTGCACAGCAACTGATTCTGAGCCAAACGTTGAGCTCCATGGCGAAACCAATGTTTGACAAGAGTTTCAAACTCTATATCAGAAATTTTAAAATTATCTCTGCATACACCTAGAAATCATTTAAATAATAATTATGATTTACAAAATTCATAGATAATAATACACCTTTTATTATGGCCACAATTGTAAGGTTTTCAAGTTTGAAATTGTTACGGAAACCAGTCCAGGAACACTTGGACGACAATTCATTTGAAAAGAGTCTTTGAAATATACGTTTCACAAAGTTTTTTGCATCAGTGCCTCCTATTTGAGTTACAAAATTTTCCTGCAAAAAAATATTGTAAAACAATCTTGTTAATAAACACTTAAAAAAAAACTGTAAAGTAGTTTTATATAGCAATGTTTTGTAGTTACATATTAAATAATACCTATTTGATAATGATTATGGATTATACATAGAATATACCTATGTACTATAATCTATATTTATTAGAAAATGAGTAATAAAGAATTATATAGATTAATATACCTACCACATTTTTTTTAAAACCAATATCATTGGTAATAAGAGCTTCAATATTATCAATTCCGGCTATATCTTTCATGGGAAAATATGATAAAAAATCATCATTTAATGTTTGAATATTATTGTTGTTTTTATTTGTAGAAATATCCATAATTTTATGTTCCAAACGTTCAATCTTTCCATCTAATTATTTTAAAAATATATGAGTAGCATTGCCTTGTTCCAAAATCTGTTGCAATAAGTCTGTAGTAGAGGTATTTTGAATAAATAAATAATAAAAATCATAATTTTTATATAATATGTATTATTAAGTTTAATTATTTTAGGCTATAATTAATATAATTTATTTAACTATCTTGTTTATTTATTTTTTTAAATTCAATTTAAAATACATATAAATACTTTACTTACTACAATTAGTTGATTGAAATTACATTTTACCATAATATTATGATAATTACCTATTCTTTAAACAAATTTTATAAAGTTAAAAGAAATATAAATAATTAAAACATGTTAAGTAGATATGTAAGTGATGTAAAAATTTAATTAATTTAAAATATAGTATCTTACCATTTATTATAAAAGAGATACTTAAGTCTCTAGATGTTAAAGGCAGAGGGCTTGCTAAAGTTGAATCAGATAAATTTGACAATATATTAATTGGCAAAGATCTGTGTGTTGTATGATTAATAGAGCTAGTTTCATGAATTGAATCTAAATTAAGGTTTGCTGTTTGATTTTTTGGTGTTGTCTGAAATATAAAGCTAGTTTCATGATTTGAATCAATATTAAGGTTTGCTGTTTGGTTTTTTGGTGTTGTCTGATAGACTGAAGAGCTAATTACATTATTTGAACTTCTGGGAATACTAGTGTTCATGTCATACAAGTCTGTCAAAGAAGCTGTTAGTAAATCAAAAATAATATGAGATAAATTATTTTAAATTTTTTAAATTTCACAATTTTATTATAAAGTTATATATAAATATTTTTCGGTCTAGATAAAAAGTGATATACTTATAAGTTATAATTGATTTGTATTATGAATAATTTTGTAAAAAAAGAATAACAAATATTGCATAAAATAAGAATTATTTAATTGTTTAACTTAGTGGTTGAACTGAAATAACTAAACTAAAAAACAATAATTATATAACTTTCCTAATCATTTAGATATAAAGAATCATAAAAAAAATAGGTACCTAACTTTTGCATTAAAAAATAAATTCTAGTTAAAACTGAAAAATATATTATACGATTCTCATCACTGCAGAAAATATATATATTTTTTTATTATTTAGTAGCATAATTGTGTCACCAGGCATTTTTACAATTAGAAAATATATAAAATTGCAATAATACATTTTTGATTAAATTGTTTATTGTTTAATAGGTTCTTATTACTTCTTACTATACTTACAAGATATAGGGAAAATTTGACTCTCATAATTTTGCTGTATATTTTAACCTTTATAATTATGATTAATATTAATTTGATCTGAGCAAATGTTTGATACAGTAGTAGTATTTTTATACAGCTTAAAAGGTGGGCCATCGAATGTACTACTATCTAAAATTCAACATAAAAATAGGTAGGTATATGTATAAATATATTCAGAAAATATGTATTAAATGTATAATCATTCTTACTATCTATTTATCTAAATTAATCAATATTCTTTTAACCTAAATAAAACTATTAAATAGATAGGTATTTATTTATTGAATCATTTGTAAAATAATCCAAAATGTATTGATAATATTTCAATATTAAAACTTATATTTTATTTAAAAAAATAATGTATCAATGAATTAAAACATTTATTGATTAATTATAAATGTTGTAATCATAGATTGATGTATTGATCTTATATTAAGACAGAAGGTTATGGACAGCGTAGTTGGATAGAACAGTCATGTAAATTGATCATAGTATATTTTATAATTTAGTGTGGATGTGTCGTGTAGTCCGGTTACAACCCAATCAGCGTATTCACACCAGATTCCCATGCTCAATCTACTAGTCTAAGGTCTATGGTGTATGGTGTAACACTCAAATTAACAATTTGTAACACCAACTACTAAAATCCTTTCAAAAACTATGATTAGAAAATATGTTTTAAAAAATTCTATAACCATACTTTGGGAGATTGAGTAATAAAAATTGTTCACATTTGTGACATTCCTTACCATCACTTTCATAGTTTAGATTACATATTTTTCTTTTTTCTATGTTAGGGTCTCCACTCTCAGACTCAGAAGCTGATATAAAATTCTGTCTTTCCCTTTTCACAGCTTCTTCATAAGTATCTATAAATAAAATGTAAAATAACTAATCAATTAGGTACCTACAACCTACTATGTAGAATAATATCATCTATTTAATATTTAACTTACTGAAAGTTGAATTTTCAATAATATTTATTGGGTAAAGAAGCCATTTATTAGATGGATCTTCAGCATTCATTATCATTTTGGAAGTGACTTTTTGTCTTTTTGGCCACTTACAATAATATTTACCATGTTGTATAACAAGCCAATTGCTTGGTACTACTGAATAGGTTTTTTCACTTTCAAAATACCCTACTGACCGCTAAAAATAATCGTGTTTAGTGTTTACAAATTAAATTAAAGTTGATATATTTAAATGTGTCTATAGTTATAACATACCTAAATACTTTATTAATTTATTTATAAGTACCTAACATACATACATATATGTACACAAATTACATATTAGTACTTTACATACTCCATTTTTGTTTTTTTAATAATGTATTTTTGAAATTTTTAATATACATAGACCATATTTTTTAGTTATAGGTAGGAATTTGTTGTACCCCTTAAAGAGTGTTCGATACAAACTATTAATTTTTAAATGGAACCCCCGTTATTACTTAAAATTATTCAATGAATTTATTTTGTTGAAGATATTAATTGATATACCTAGGTAATACCTATCTTAACCTAAATGTTAATTAGGTACTAGTTACAAACTTATTAAACATTGTTCACTAAGGATAAAACTATAAATGTCAATAAGACTAGCTAGACTTTAAAACCATAATTTAATAATTATAGTAGGTAATTATAGTAGGTAGGTAATAATTACTAGGTAATTCATATAAATTGTATTCATACGAATATTATTGTTGGACGTTTAATTCATATCTAAGTTTATCTGCATATTTTACAAATTGATTTTAATTAGTATTATTTAAACATAAAATATTAAAATCACAAAATCACAAAATGTAGTATCATGGAATTATTATCCTTAGAACATAAAAGTTTAATAAGGTGGAAACCAGGGATCTATACTCATTTGAACTTTAACTTAGATACCTACTTAAAAGTTTCCTCATAACTAGGGCCCGGAAGTTCATGCACAGAAAAACTATCAAAAATATGCGCTAAATAATATGCTAATATTAAAAAAAAAAAGTTATTTTCCTTTTTGGTAAAAAAAAATAATTAAAATATGGGAAAAAAACAAGCAAAATGTATATATTAATTAATATGGTATATTATGTTATATTTACTTTAGGTATTACAATTATAATTATAAATTATAATTTAGAAGTATAACTGGCTTATCGGCGATAAACTATCGCCTATCATGAATTATCGCATGGACTTCCGGGCCCTACTAATTACATAATATTAAATTATTTAAGTATTACCTGTATAATTTTAAACAGGTTTTTATACTCAAAGACCGAAATTTTTATAAAATATTAATGAAAAAAAAATATCAAAGGTAAAATGCAATAAAATGCAGTACAATGCAATTTTTTTTTAAATATGCATATTATGTAAAAAACCTCAAAATATGCGAAAATATGAAAACTAAAATTTCATTTTTGAACTCATCAGGTTGTGATTCAAATTTGTAGCTCATCCAGCAACTTTTTGATGCACTCATTAAAAACATGCAAATGCATGAACTTCCGGGCCCTACTCATAACTTATAAGCTACCTATTAATTGAATAATTTAAAGAAAAAAAGGGTGATTTTCTTTTGAAAAACTGAAGTTTGTGTCTATACCTACAATCATTAAGTGTTACAAAATATGGTTTTTTAAGTGCATAATATAAAAATTTTAAAAATTAAATTTTAAATATTTTGTATGCAAAAATATGGTTATCATTCTTGGTGAATCAACCTACGTATAGGACTGTGTACATATAGGTAAGTAGGTACTAATAAACTTAGTTTTATTAATTTTTTAATCACAAATGTACAAAATTAATCTGTTAAGTATAAAATTTCTCAATATTATATATTATATCATATAAATTACTACTAACTAAATAACTAAGAATAATATTGGTTAATTACAACCATAAAATGATAGTTGAAATTTGATTTATATAGGTATAAGATATTATTTACATTTTAAATAATAGCAATAAGGTAAATTGTATGATAAAATATTGTAATATTCGCAACCAAACATTAACATATTAGTCTTTTATCATTAAATAACTACCTATATACCTTTAATATGAAT